CTCTGGGCACTACTGCTCATCTAACCCAACTCCTGATCAGTTAGAATTCAGCTGTCAGATCTTGCAGGGAGGGAGGGCACTAACATTAAACCTGATCTTCCCTCAAGAGATCTCACCCAGTTTTACAGCTTAACTTGTCCCATCAATATCTCAGACTTCTGAGGCACTGGACAAAAGCTGGGTTCTGGTCCTAGCCATATTTAATCTCTAGCCCCAAAGGACTAGGACATCTTAGACTGTTGTGGTTAGCCCAGGCATAATTCCACCATTGCCATTGATTTTTTTCTCCCAAGTTCCCCATGTGCTTTTAATAAACTCTCCATCTTCATGCCTTCACACCTCTATGCTTTACTTGATTGGCTCTGCTACTTTCTGTCTCAGCAGTGAAATAGTACAATAGAAATCTCTCTACATTTTACATACATTAACAATTCTATTTCTTCTCTCTCTGGTCCAGTGCAAGAAGGCCCAGTTCCCACAAAGGCTCAGCAGTACTATGCTCTTCCATTAAGATTATCTGTAATGGGGTCTATTCATAATGATGTAAAAACTAAGAACATTGAAATATTATTAGTTGATGGCTGCTGGTTTAATATTCTGACTGTGGAGGCAATGTTGTAGTTGAGAAGGGTAGAAATGTGTTTGTGTTACCTTAGATTGTGTTTCTATAGCACTGTAAATAGACAGTAGAGCTAAAACCTAGGTAAGAGTCTCGCTGGACAAAAATATAAGCAGTTAGTGAGATCATCATTGCATTCATTTCAGGAAAATTGTGTGGTGGTGAAGAGAACTCATTAGCCTTCTTGTGCTGCATTGTCACTGTCATTTATCAGCTTCTACCTCACACGCCACAGCTACTATCTTTTGTGGCATCCAGTGGGGTACCACAGAATTCCTGGAGAATTCTGAGTTTAGACTCCTGGGTTCTACTGCATGACACATTGGGCTATGCACTGATTGTGGCAGATAGAAATTTTTTCCAATATACTCCTAATGGGACACTCAATAAAGCAAAGCAGTGTGATTTGCCAACTCCAGGAAGCATGGAAAAATAAAGCCCCATCAGAAGTTTGTCCCCCATCTCCTTGTAAACCCTTCCTTACAACTTAAACTATGGCAAGCCGTTTGGAACAAACAAAAATTAGGCTAATCAGCCCTGTCTATTGGGCAGGCTTCGTTTAGTGGAGCATTTCATTTTAGTCCTGTTTCAAATTACTACCACCTATTAAATCATATTAAAAGTCCGCTTCACCTTTAAACCATGTCCATCATACCCAAGTTTGTCCATATACATGCCATTCAAAATGGAAATCTGTGCCCACTAAAACTTGGATGTGAAAAACGGGACACAATTGTAGAATCTAGGTAGAGATCCCTTTGTAAGCTTGGTCCTCAGAGTTCATAGATATTCTCTGAAGTGTTGATACCAACTGTGTTCAGCTTGGCATTTGAGTATATAAGCCTATGAATACACTTTTCAAAGACCAAGCTATTGAAAGAGAAATCCCAGTTAAAATAGCGAAATGGAGCGAGTCAGTAACATAATTCCTGGCAGTGGTTTTTTCAGCCCTGAGCTCAAATCTGTCTTCACAAGTACATTGAACTCTGTGGCCTCAGACCAATCTCCAGTGGAGATTTGTCCATTCATTTTGGTACACATATTGCCAGTCAGGGGTCGGATACCTTGGTAGGAAGGTTGGTGCAATCTAGTTCAAGAGCTCAAGCCACTGCAATCAGTTCATGCCAGTGCTGCAAGAAAATACTGTCCTTCCAGATGAACCACATTTCAACTTCTCTCACCAAGTTATGTAAGAGAGAGATGGTTGTGCTGTCTCGTAGTATGAGTACAACTCCTGAGTTCTCATCCTGTCACACACCATCCCTCCCCCTTCCCGGTGGACTTGGGCAAGGCAATTAGCCATTCTGGCTCAGTTTTGCTGGGACAATAACATTTGTAACTCATAGGCAGTTTGTGAGGATTAATTAATGTTTGTACAATCCTTTTGAAGTTGAAAAGTAATACGTAAGTGCTACATATTAATAATAATAATAACTTTAATTTTAGAGAACACAAGTCTATTTTGTAACCTTCTTTTCTAGCAAGATTTTTCGATGTCAAACAGTCGAACAGGTAATCCTGGATGAACCATTAGTGTCTAGTTCTTTGTTTTCCAAAGCATTTGGGGAAAGGCCCAACATAAATACAAAATCTATTCAATTGAACATTTAAAATATGGTCTGGTATGTTTTAAAATATGGTATGACACAGTGTACTGAGCTAATATGCCTGAGGTGATTCTGTCTGTTAAATGTATTAGAGTTGAGCTAAACTGATTTGGAAAGATTCAGGTTCTTTGAGTTTCGAGGCTTGTGGCTATAGCTTGTATTTTGCTCTCCACCTGCCATGAGCATGACCATGTATTCACTGTAATTCCAGGTTCCCATTTGACTGCTCCTTACCACAGACTCTCTACAGAGCGTGTCTGTTGTCCCCTGCACTCTTCTAATGGTCTGCAGATGCCATCATAGATTGACTGGCTAATAATCCTGGTTCCAGCATGTCACTTCTATTAGAATCTCAAAGTGACAATACACTATATTTTTTTCACTCAAACTTTGAGCCTTTTGCTGAAGTATCCATTGTTTGATTTGAATAGGAAGAAATTCTTTGATTCTTAGCCCTCTTTCCCGCTCTGACTTGCTATATGGGGGAGATCTGGGACAAGAAGAATGAGTAAGGTGTAAGGTACACAACTGGCAGTTGCCAGTATGTTCCTACTTTTAGCTACCTAGGCTAACGGGCTTCTAAACTTGAGAAACTTCAGTACAGTTTAAATTAAAATGGTTTCATGGTCCAGGTTTTGAGGGAATTTTCCTAACATCATGAAAAACAATATTTGTGTGAAAACTCTGGCAACCAGGAATTTCAAGTCTTGAATACAAACACCAGAACTGCAAACAAAGGGTAATATTTATTTCTTCACTTGACTGGTTCAAGTAAGTGTAACCAGGATTAGCTAATGTTTCACAGAGGCTGTCATAAATATAAAGGGAAGGGTAACCACCTTTCTGTATACAGTGCTATAAAATCCCTCCTGGCCAAAGGCAAAACCCTTTCACCTGTAAAGGGTTAAGAAGCTAAGATAACCTTGCTGGCACCTGAGCAAAATGACCAATGAGGAGACAAGTTACTTTCAAAGCTGGGGTGGGGGGGAGCGGGGAACAATGGGTCTGTCTGTCGGTGCAATGCTTTTGCCGGGACCAAGTCAGGAATGCTCTTCAGGACTTCTGTTAAGTTAGTAAGTAATCAAGCTAGAAATGCGTTAGATTTCCTTTTGTTAAATGGCTGGTAAAATAGGTTGTGCTGAATGGAATGTATATTCCTGTTTTGTGTCTTTTTGTAACTTAAGGTTTTGTCTAGAGGGATTCTCTATGTTTTGAATCTGATTACCCTGTAATCATCCTGATTTTACAGAGGTGATTCTTTTACTTTTTCTTTAATTAAAATTCTTCTTTTAAGAGCCTGATTGCTTTTTCATTATTTTTAAGATCCAAGGGTTTGGGTCCGTGTTCACCTATGCAAATTGGTGAGGATTTTTATCAAGACTTCTCCTGGAAAGGGGGTTTAGGGCTGGGGGGGGGGATATTTTGGGGGAAGACATCTCCAAGTGGGCTCTTTCCCTGTTCTTTATTTAATATGCTTGGTGGTGGCAGCATAGGGTTCAAGGACAAGGCAAAGTTTGTACCTTGAGGAAGTTTTTAACCTAAGCTGGTAAGAATAAGCTTAGGGGGTCTTTCATGCAGGTCCCCACATCTGTACCCTAGAGTTCAGAGTGGGGAAGGAACCTTGACATAGGCTGATGTTTTTGTAGCTAGGGAATCCCTAGGGCAACTAAGAAATCCAATTTTGATGAAAAGCTCCTAGTAAAATTAGAAACTGCTTCTGAGCCTAGTGAAGGAAAATGGAAAATAATGAAAATTAAAAGTGCAGCACAGAAATCTTGTAAAATCTGGAAAAGATTGCAATCTGGAATTCACTAGCTGGGATTTTTCATGTTTTCTGTCCCATATCATAGACACACACACACACACACAGAGCTCCTTCTATCTAGGTGGCTTATGTCAAAGATGTATTCTTTTTTTTAAAAAAAAAAGTTCAATTAAAAGTTTATTAGCTGACACCCAAACTTCCTTTGGTGAATTGTCTTTGATGGCAGAAAGAGCACCATGAAAATACAGGGTAACTTCCAAGGTAGTGAGCATATTTTTTCCTCTCCTTAGCGTCTCTGTGTATTACAAACAAAATAACTGGGCAATTTTTTGTAAGGGAAATTGTGGTTCTTGATAATTTGTCTATAATCACAAATCATGATCTGCCATTGCTTCTATGGCCAATATCTTTTATGCATTTCACATAAGTGGAAGGGGAACCCAAAGCAGCAGAAATGGGATGAAAAATGCAGAAGGAGGGGAGCAGCAGTTCCAAGGCATACCCCTCTTTAACCCTCTAAAAATTTCTTTGCCTCAGATCTGCAAGATGTGAGCACCTTCATACCTCTTTGTAATCATGTTAGTCTTTTAAGAACGTAAGCAAAAAAGACATTTTTTTAAAAAAAGTTATCCCTAATGCATCTATTTTCTGTGTCTTATATTTTTATTAATTATTTATTAATTATTATTATTATTAGTTCTCCACACAACCTGTATCTGGAAACTAGTTTTTACTGGACACAGTAATGACTGTGAGGCAAATAACTACATTAGTGATTTCTTGCTTGTAAAGCAATATCATACACTCTTGAAGACAAATAGACTAGATGTACAAACCATGGCAGCCTGTAACAGCAGAAAGTGAAGCGGGGTAAGTGAGTATTTACAGCACAGAGGCAAAGCTGAGCTCACTAAAATCCTAAGGATTGTTCTTTACTTTCGGTCTGCAGTCTCTATAGTGTATTCAGATTTGAAACACTAGTAAGGAAACCGTTCAATTTTTTTTCCAGATTGCTTCAGTCTGTGATATCAGCAATAATCACCATGGTATTGTTGCCTAGCCATTCTTGAAGAATCAGAAGTGGACTGTAATTGAAGACTTCATTACCAAGATCAGTTGGCTGCCTGATTACAATGGCAAGGTGAAATATATATCCTCACCAAAAAGCAAACTGCTAAACCTTTAGAGAAGTCACCCACTTTTCACTCTTTTTCATTAGAACCCCGACAAGCTTGTCAGCAAAATTAAAGGTATGTCATTCACATCGTGCATGCATTGCAAAGGACTATAAACCTGCCAACCTCTTTGATGAAATAAAAGGGTTTTATTTATGATTCATGTAGGAATATGAGGTTATTTTTATTCTGTCAGTACACTAATAATCAGATGAGAGTTCAGGAAATGAGAAGGCAAACTGGCAGCGAAGGTTCTGATAAAGGGGAACCCTCTAGGGTATTTTGACCCCTTTGTAATCTCCTTCTTTTTAGTGTGAAGTTATAGTGCGGCATAGTGTGATCCTGCAACAAGCTTGGGAACAAAGACAGTAACTATCTAGAAGGGCTTGAGGTGTAATTCCACTAGAAGAGGAAAATGCTTCCACCAGAAAAGTGTGTGTTGTTGCAGTGATGGGAACAAGTACATTTTGATCCTAGCTGGTTTCCAGGATGTAGGCAGTTGAAAAGATGTCCTTTTTGGGCTCCCCTCCTACAAGGCAATGTAACTAGTCTTTAAAAAACAAGGTAAACCTCATGTGCAGTCATTAAACATTTCTTAGCTATCATTATTGGCATTCACTTTTACAGCACCATTGCCCCAAGGAGCTCACAGTCTAGTCTGATGTGATGTAATGAAGGGGATGCCAATAAAGTAGGGAGAGGAAAGGGGAGGAAGGACTGCGGTAACCCCCTTCATGATTATTTGCTAGGGTGCTTTAATGCTCACATATAGCTATGTGTGCATGGGCACATTTCAGAATATGACCTGCCCTGGACATTTCAACTGCTTTGGTAATTTGGTACTGGTGTAATTTTGTCCCAGCTATATGAAGCTTTTGAAAGTAACTTTAATTCTAGTTGGTGTAAACTGTCATTCATAGCCCTGGCTGCCGCTGAGATTAGAGAAGCAATCCTTGCAAGTAAAAGGTATCAGTGTATTAGCTGGGTAGCATTAAGTACAGTAGTTTGCTGAACAGTGGTATCTTGGCAGAGAAACACAGAATAGCACAATATATGCAGGATGAAGTGAAACAAAGTTCACTGGAGGAAAAATAATAATACTAATCCTTCATTCAATAAGCAGTGAGTTAAGTACATTTTATGTGTGTGTTGAAGAAATGTAAAAGTAAAGGTAAGAGCACAAATGTAAAGGTAGTGACTAGCTTCCTTTCAAAAGACAACATACGAGACATTTAGGGGTTGGTAATAATAAAAGACGGACCTGAATTACTAAGTTCAAATCCAGATCCTGGTCTAAACTTCCACAAAGTTCAAGGGTGTTGGATTCACTCTTAGGGTAATACAAATAATACATCCGTGGGTGTCCTTTGCATAGAGCCCTATGCCTCCCTTCTCAGCTTCACAGTGCACAGTGTACCAGGGTATGAGGTATGGGCAATGGGAGGGGGTCTTTGCAGCTCACAGTCATAAGTTAGAGCACTGGTTCTCAATCTTTCCAGACTACTGTGCCCCTTTCAGGAGTCTGATTTGTCTTGCATACCCACAAGTTTCACCTCACCTATAAACTACTTGCTTACAAAATCAGACATAAAAACACAAAAAGTGTCCCAGCACACTATTATTGAAAAATTGCTTACTTTCTCATGTTTACCATATAATTTTAAAATAAATCAATTGGAATATAAATATTGTACTTACATTTCAGTGTATAGTGTATAAAGCAGTATAAATAAGGCATTGTATGAAATTTTAGTTTGTACTGATTTCATTAGTGTTTTTTATGTTGCCTGTTGTAAAACTAGGCAAATATCTAGATGAGTTGATGTACCCCCTGGAAGACCTCTGCGTACCCCCAGGGGTACACATATCCCTGGTTGAGAACCACTGAGTTAGAGCAGCCCTCAGATAAATTTGTAGGGACACCCTTATAATTAACTTCTGTCTGAAAAGTTTCCTTTGATTTGACACAAGCAGCAAGTAAGAGACACAAGTAACTGAAAGAGACTGGCGCAAACAAAATACTTTCCTCTGCTCTTTTACTTTTTTTTTTCTTCCAGTTTCTGTACTTTGTGCAAACCCCAGCAAGTTGTGTATAGTCAGTTTCCTGGTTTCTCCTGCATAGTCAGTTTCCCCTGTTGTTTGTGTGGGCCATTCACACAGCAATAGAGAAGAGAAAACATTTTAAAGAATAGAAAATATTGATTGCAAAACCACTGAAATTGGCTGGAGGGCTTGGGACAGGTGCAGCACCTGAAATTGCTTTGAACTCATTTTAGTACACTGACTAGATTTCAAGGGCCAGATACACCAGTATACTCCATACACTTTGTGTTACTCCGGTTGGCAAATCAGCCATAAACCCAGTTTAACTATCTAGGTTAAACAGGGTGTCTAGCAGCTTTGCAGTGCTGGAGTTTCACAAAGTGGGGAGAGCTTTTGGGTGACACTGTCTCTTTAACAACCCCATTCCCTTCATCAGTTCAACTCTTTCAAATAGAAATATAATTTTTCTTCTTCCAAGAACTTTCTCCATTCCAAAATATTGCCCTTGTCAGGTAGCCCTGGGTGTCACTGCTAAGGATAGCCCAAGACTTAGGAGTTTGCAGCATTGCATCTTTATTTTCCATAGCTGCCAAGTATATCTCCTTGTACCTCTCAAGCCTGCCATAGTGCTGGAAAGTAGAGCAAGTAACTACTTCATCAGTCCAAGATTGCATTCTCATGGAGCACGGAGGTTCATTATACTTACTTTATCAGCAGTAAGGTTTACTGCTGAATCCATGAGAGATATTCGTGTGAAACATGAGCAGAGAGAGAGGCATTGCATCTTTTCATTAATAAGCCCTCTTCTGGGATCTGGCATTAGTGAGATTCAGCGGATCATAGAGCACAGGGGTATCATTTTTACATGATTACTCTAAATTCTTAAACCAGAGGCTTAAGAGAGAGGCTTCTCACAAAGGCAGCTGTGGGAATTGCTAAATGATTGACACAGCAGTAGCAATGGGCTGAACCACTGCAGGTACCTCCAGTCATGGGGGTACCAGCAGGCATTTTATTACCTGCCATCACAGGAAAAGGGGAAACAAAGGTGTGAAAGACAGCAAGGAAGATGTGCTAACCCTGCAGAATTTCTCTGTGTTCCTATTTCGCCTTCTGAACAAAGCTCCCAGAGCATACTTAAGCAGGGCTTCTCCATGCCACCCTTATTAGGTTGTTCTCTTCCCTTGCTGTATTTTCCTTGGGTTCAGGATTTTTTTTTCAGAATATCTGTATTTACCTGCTTTGTTATCTCTAAAGCTAGCAGTGAACTAGAGAGAACCCCACTCTCCCTCTTAAATAACACCTAACCTCGCATTTGGTTGAGCCACCCTGGTAAGACAGTCCAACCACACCAAGCTGTAGCCCAAATACCTTTTCTGAAGTTAATAAAGTCTGGAAGAGGAGTGGATGGCTCAGAGGGTTGGCCTTGGTCTAACAAGCCATTGCTAAGTTCACACCTAACTCAGGCTGATGATGACACTGATAATGTTGTTAACACCAGGAAAGGAACAACAACCTTGTAGTTAAGGCACTGGACTGGCCTGGATTTATTTTCTGGCTCTGCCACAGACTTCCTGTGTGACCTTGGACAAGTCACTTCCTCATCTGTAAAATGGGGATAATTGTAATTGTCTGCATCATATGACTTAGATGTGGTGGGTCCGAAAACTAGACTATTGGACAGCCATCGGAGCCATATGAAGAGTTCTCAGTTCGCAGTAGATAGGTACCTACCTCACAAAAAACACACTTAGCACTGATAAGCGCATTTGTTGTCAACCTCTGTTGCGATTCAAAGTGTTGAATACATGACTGAACAAGGTGGCTTAACTCTTAAAGACAGTTGCCTCAAGTTAGAGTTGAGGCCCACTGGCAGAACACTGATACTGTGCTTGTTAGGCCTGGTTCTCTTCTCACCTTAGGTGTACCAGGGATTGAGGTGTTCTATGACCATGGAACTCACTCTGAGCTGCAGAATTTTGTTCTAGAGTCTAACTAACTAACTTTTCATTCATAAAATGATGTTTCTAGCCTTTGTGGTTGTGTTGATGAGCTTTAAAACATGAAGCATGTGTAACACCTGCAACTTTCTCTTCCCGAGTCTGCAAACAGCCTAAGACAATTGCGCTGAGAGGTATGAACTGCCAGAATCAGCTTAGTGTACATTTAAATCTGAAACATAAAGACAACAGCTAAAACCTCAATTGTCAAAACCTCCAACTTTTCAAACAACTTCTATAATGTCCAAACAAAGTCCTGAACACAAGCATTGACAGACAGGAACTGTCTGTGACAGTATCCAGCTGCAGATATTTTAAAGGAAGATGTAAAACTCCCACAGTGGGATATTCTGCCCCTACATTAGATCTCATCCTGATCTCTAATTGTTATAGACTGGTTTAAGCCCTGAAGCATGATGTTTAATATTCCTTTCAAAAAATTTCTGCTTGTTAATTATGATTATTCTGGATATTCTTTATATTCATATTAATGTTCAATTTATTTTTTAATTTTGCTAAGTTCTCGGTCTCAAAAACTTCCTGTGGAAATGAGTTCCACAGTGTAATTATGTGTTGTGTGAAAAAGGCTTTCCTTTTATCAGTTTTGAATTTGCCACCTTTTAATTTCAATTAATGTCCTGTTGGTCTTGAGTTCTGAGATAAGGAGAACAGAAGCTTCCAATCTACCTTCTCTAGACCATTCATCATTTGATATACTTTTATCATGTCCCCTCTTATTTGTCTCCTTTCGAAGGTAATTTTTTTAAATCCCACTTTATATGAGAGTTTTTTTCACATCCCTAATCGTTCTTGTCACCCTTTTCTAAACCCCTTCTAATAGTGCAATATCCTTTGTGTGGTGCAGGGACCAATGCTGAACGTAATATTCCAGATGAGGCCACACCACTGATATATATCCATAATGGCAGTGGCTAATAAAGCATTTTGTAAAATGAAAATGTGGGGACAGAGTAAAATTAATTGAATTTTCTATCAGCATAAATAACAGAAGGGCAACTGTACTATTTTTAT